TAGGAATCATTTCATTCATTTATTAATATCTGATACGTTTCAAAATGTGCTTTTTTACTTCGATACCATTATCGAGTATGCATTAAGGCTCAATCAGTCTGCGAAAAAGCATTATTCTAACACAACCGCCATTTTTCGAGATTAAATTCAATCAATTTACTTCGAGCACGTCTGAATTGTTTCAACATGACTCGTAATTTTAAAGCCCAGATAAAAATAAAGCAAGATTTTCTAATGGGAATGTTGTTCCTTCATTAATTCAGATCCAGCAAACAGGGGCGCCACAAAAAAATTTGGTCCCTTTTAAAAACGAGTAATTTAAAAAAAAAGATCGATAAATATGTTTTATTAGCATAATTGGATGTAGTTATGCATAAAAGAACCAAGCCACATTTAGTCATTATTGCATTAACAGCACCATGTGATATAATAGATATTTACGATATAAGTGCGGTATAAACATTATTAATACATGCATGTGAAAATTATATCACATTATAATCACATAATTATATTAATAATGTGTTATCGGTACGAATATTGTACAATATTTTATCTACAACTGTCATGTAACAACAACTCCGAAAATTCGAAATTATATTGAATAAAATTATGTCGGCATATCGTTAAAATTGACTATTTGCGAATACAAGTAACCTGTCAGTATTTTGTAACCATAGCAACGAAATTAATAATCAACTTCTGTCAAAGTGGCGTTTAAAATCGTAAAAATTCTGACTTAATGTCCCTCAAATAACCATTACAATTACATATATTATCAATTATGTCTTCAAGTGAAGATGATCTTCCACAAGATATTGAAAATGCAGCAACCGCCATAATAGAAAATTTAGTACCACAGAAATCACGTGAGAGATATCATTTAACTTATGCCAAAGAGGAAATGGAGGTGGTTGCAATAAAATATCTAATGAGCGTTTCAATGAGGTTATTAATCACATTAAAAAAATACCGAAATATAAATCACACTACAGACGTGAAGAAGCACATGATGTTGAGTATTTAGAAAGGCATATGACTATAGAAAAAATGCATCGACTATATTTTGAAGTTCCTAATCCTGTAAGTTATAAAAAATATAAAAGAATTTTTTATTCCAATTTTAATTTGAGGCGTAAGCCTTTAAAGAAAGATACATGCAATTTGTGTGACAAAATGAATGCTGCTATAAAATCAGCAAAAAATAATGAAGACAAAGAAAAATTCACCCAAGAGCATACCACTCATTTAAATTATCAGGAAGAAGCCAGAAACAAAATGAACGATGACATCCAAAGAGCTAGGAGAGATGAAACTAGAAGTACTGACCTTTGACATGAAGAAAACTCTCCCATTGCCAAGGAAATAGACATATCAAAAAAACGTAAGGGTAGACCTCAGAATGAGGCCAATATATTTTCACAGGCACTGACACGATTATGGCCAAACGGAAAACCGATCTCGCCAAAAAAACTTGAAGATATAAAGTCTATCATGCACCTTATTCCTAGCGATGTGCAAAGTTTTTATGAAAATTTAAAAATTGGTGATATTATTGAAGATTACCTTGATGGTTTTGATGCAGATTTAGATTTTGAGTTGCAAGATAACTAAGTATTGATAATACCTAATATGTATTGTTACTTAACATATTAAAAAATAGTTTTATTTACAACCATATATGTAATGTTCTCATTACTAACGTCATTGAAGGTTGGGAAGTGTCACATTACACACCTCTACTTCCCGCCCTCATTTCATCTATTCTAGATGAATATTTTTTATATTAAAAAAAAATAATAACACATTGACAAATTTTATAATACCTATTTAATGGCAAACAATAAAAAACAACAATGATCTAAAATATAACAAACTACTTATTGATATTTATTATTCGAGAATTTAATATTCGGCTTTATCTGACATTTATTTATATTGGTGACAGTTGTTTACTTCGTAATCACAGTAACAATATATTTACCTACTTGATTATTCTGAGAAAACCGCGCGCTTAGTAATTTGTCGTTAAATGTAATATTTTAGGTATGTTCAGAACAAAACAGAGATTTATTAACTTTGATCGAAATATGATGGTTGTAAATAAAATAGTATACAAACCTCGGTAGGAAGTTTCATTCCTGTCTCGAGATCATAGCTAACCTCGACGCTTCGCGTCTCGGTGATCTAACTAATCTCACGACAGGAATGAAACTCTTCCCACCTCGGTATGTAATATACTATTATTGTGTTGTTTCTTTTTTATTCTTGTAAATTCGTCAAACATTCCATTATGCAAAAGAGAACCAAGCCACAAAATTATAGATATATAACATATTTTTGGTGTTATTACCTAAGTTTCCAAAGCCCTACTATAGTATAATATGTTTTTATTTTAAAATAAAGGCAAATCTTTCAAATAACTTTGACATATTTTTTTAAGCAAAAAATTTTTATACGTAATTATCTCAGTTCAACATTTCGTGGCTTGGTTCTTTTCTGCATAACTACATCCAATTTATTTTATATATTTGAATTTAATTTTCCGAATTTATACACTGGACTGGAGGAATATTATGTAATATCTCTTTGACAATAAATAATTATGCATAACTCTTCCACTGACCACTCAATGTACCAGTGATTCATTTGATGCCTAATATCAGTATCTGGTTAGGAATAAGTGTACAGTGCAACTATTATTACCCATTAGAAGTGCATATTCAATATGCTATGGTAGCTCCATAATGAATATGGACAATAGATAAATGGTATCAAATAGACTTGTGATACTAATCTGGAAACATCAACAATGCGCATAATGAGATTACGGATATAATTTCATCCTTGACTGGAAACGAAATATTGTCCATAACGCAATCGATCATAAGGTTTTAGAAGCAACATTATTATTCTAAATACACGAAATTACAATGAACAGAAACAGATTAATTATATAAATTAATTTGTCACAAAGGTAGATTGAGATCATTTCAATGCAGTTTCAGATCCAGTTCCAGGAACGTTTCTCGTTTTCAAATACAATTTTTTATCGAATTGCGGAATTGTTTAGTGTTTTATGGAATTTAAAAAATGGTTTTCTAGAGTCATCAGAAGTTCTTAAAGAACGAATTGTAAAAATAATGTGCTAGTCCATTGGATTTTAAGTTTTACAAAAATATATTTAACTGGTTATTAGTATATTATTATATCATTTGCTAACTACAACATTATTTATATATGGGGCATTCCATGCCAAATCGAACACCATTTAGCTTCTGCATCTTGGATTTTTTTGAAACTTTTCTATGTTTTTTTTCAAATTTTTTTCACCAACCGTTTTCGTGATCACGATTTTTGAAAAATTCAGAGATCTTTTTCAAACGCCCATAACTTCGCGAAAAATGATCTGAATGAAATTTTCATAAGAATAAAAAATCTTTGTTTTCAAACATACTTTTCGTAAAAAATATTTCGAAGCAAGCTTCTATTAGAATTTTAACTTTTAAGTATAAATTATCGATTTTCCTCAAAATTTTTCTCAACAAATTGTCACCTATTCTACAACTTTTTCGGTCATGCTCATAGTGGGACAACGATGGGATCTATTTTTTTCGATTTTTCAATTTTGACATCAGATTTTTGTAATAAAAAATGTCTGAAAAAAAATTCTATGCTCAGGATTTACTGTTAATAATTATTTGAGACACAATTATCATGGTAATTATCAAATTTTATTTCCGAAGAAAGATTATTATTAACTCACATCTATTTCCTTCCACGTTTAAATATTTTATAAATCCAAGATTCAACGGATGATGAAAATTCTTTCTGTATCTGTAATGTGCGGAGGGTGGGTTACCCCCACGGCACTTAGGCTTCATTAGGCCCATTGTGTATCCTCCTAAGATGATAAACACCTCCTAGCTCATGGGCCAGCCTACAGATTTAATGTAGTTGACAACGTCGCCAAGAGTTGCTTCTCTTATATCGGCCGGTGTTAGCCGAGGATATGCTCGATGGTCTCATCTTGTTCGCACCCTCTGCGGTTTCTGACAGCCCCATGATATGGAGATGTGCTTCCGTACTTGGCAATGACCAGTCAGAATGCATGTGACTAGGCGCAGATTCTGTCTAGTCATAGTCAAGTATTTCTTTGCTGCAGTGTTGTCAGGATAACTTAAGAGCTCCCTGGCAACTTTGCAGTTTATTGTTTTATCCCATCTTTTCTTGAATTTTACAAGGGAATGTTCTTTAATTAGGTCTGTCACTACCGATTTTGTCAGGCCAATAGAATGGCCATGTCCAAAAAGTATTTCTTTGGCTGCTATCTTGGCTAGTGAATGAGCAAGACGGTTACCTTTCGATGTGGCGTGACCTTTGATCCATCTTAAGGTGACCACATTGTTGATGGATACTTCAGCCAAAGCTTCGTGATATTCTAGTACTAATCCTGAATAAATTCGTGGTCTGCTCAGAGTGAGTAGTGCTTGTCTGCTATCTGTATAGATGAGCAATCATGTTCCTTCCAGTGATATTGTTTCTGGTTATTTCTTTTGCTGCTTTGAACTACACTGGCACTATTACTTATTTATTGTTTCGGCCTTTACTTGATGAAAATCCATTTAATTTTGAAAGAGTAAAACCAAATTTGGTAGATTTTCACACTTTTATTTTAAAAATAAAAAAAAAAAAAAAAAAAAAAAAAAAAAATTTTTTTTTTTAAATAAAAGTGTGAAAATCTACCAAATTTGGCACTATTACTCACAGCCCATTTTATGTTTGGGTTTAAGAATCTGGAGTATATTCCACATCCTAAGCCTTGTTTTGTTTTAAAAGCATCGATGTGGATATGAATCGTACCTGCCACTTTTGGCTCTTCTATTTGTTCTATTACGGCATTATTTATTTGAATATAATTCTAAAAAGATTCTAACCTAATTTGGCATTCGGAGTTGAAAGAATTCCTATCTTTTCTCGAAAAGATTTTGCAATAGACGCTATGTATATGGTACAACACATTGTTTCGCATACTCGAGATAAGCCCCACGTTTCAGGCAAAAGAGTAAGAATTTGGATTTTTCAGATCGTTGCGTATTACTATCGTTAAATTTAGTTTTCAATTTTTCGAGCAATTCTAAGAAATTTTGTGAATTTGTTTCATCATCAGACGGTTTTATGACTCCTACAGTGGTATTTAAGCCATTATAAACTTTTTTGACTTTGCTTTCTAAGTAAGTTTGATTGTCAACGTGTTTCTTGATAATTGGTGATTGATTCAACAAAGCGAATGCGTCATAAACAACAGGTAGCACTGGTCCTAAACTTAATCCAGACAAACTATTTTATTTTAAAATAATAAACTTGTTTTATCATAATAATAATAATAATAATAATATTCAGAACATAAAGTTTGTTTAATCTTACCAGATAGAATAGTTGAAATTGATGAAAAAGTACTTTTAGTACGAGCATCTTCCAATTCTTCTTCAAAATTGTCATCAACCTTAGGAACAGAATTAGATGCAGTATTTTGCAAATCGTGTGCTTTTCTACAAGATGTACTTAAGTTATGTGTAATTTGATGTGTAATAGAAGCTCGTCGGAGACCATTTTTCACTCTATGGTCTTCCAATTGTCGAAGATTACAGCACAAATTATATCTACCAAAATTTTCCATGGCACAAATATTCACAATGTTATTTGCTTGTTTACTGTAAAAATAATACACTAGTATTTCTTTTAAAAAAGTTGATATTGATCATTGACGCTAATAACGCGATCAACAATACCCCTACTCTTGTTCTTAAACCTAGATGTAAAAATGTAGATGTAAAATTCTCAACTGATAAGTTATCCACCACAGTCGTCAAAGGATTAATCCATTAGCCAAAGAAAAAGGTATTGCACCAGGTGTTCCCCGAAGTTTAAATATTGGTCCCATTTGGTTTCTTCTGCCTATCATTGTTGTAAAATAGAATCAGTAGAAGAATTTATCCAACAGTTATTTGTTTGGTAAAATATTTACAAAGGTTGATAAACAGTATACAAGTTTTCTTGCGGGCGATAGTTAAGCCATGAGTCTCCTGTCACATCTTGGATGAGTGAACGCAAAGAGAAGTATGTTACATAAAAGCGTTTGATGTGGAGTGAATGTAAAATATTAAGCAAAGAAATATCAGACAACAACGATAAGATTGGGTTGACGTTTAGGAAATAAAATAAATACAATAGAGAAAACTTTGTCGTAATCGAAAATAACAGCAAAAATCTGCATACACAAATTATATATATAATCTGTTATTCAATTTAAAGCATTGACTGTCAATATATCGCTAATTTCAAATATGTTGCGAATATAAGAGGGCTTATGAAAAATAGATTATTTTATATTGATGCAAAAATAGAATCATATATTATACATAATCTGGAATAAAAGCTTCCGTACTTTTAGATAAATAATTTGGTTATTTGTCACAGAAAGGATTTAAATTGCGGTGATCAATCATATTTTCAATGTGATTATAGAGTGCGTAGCAACTGTAAACGTTTATCGAAACAAAAATAATAATAATAATATAATAGTAATAATTTTTATTTACATACAAATAATTAAAAGTAGCTGCGAATTATACTTAGTAAAAACAATTCAATGCATAATGTTTGTATGTAAATAAAAATGTGATGTGTCCAACACAAGACTTTCCTATCTAGTTATTATAGGTTTTTTTTACGGTTATTTTGTAGAACCTATTGTAGCACTTCTATAAATGTTTAGAGGATAAACTAAATATATATTTTCCACATACATCTAACTCGAAACATTTTTCTATAGATATTCATTGAAAACAAAAATACTGAAAAATTTAAATTTAGCACTTTTCCTCCAATTTTTCATTATGGTCCATTTTAGAAAAATCATGTAAAATCAAAAATTATAGAGATCGATATCGCAAAAAACTTTTAGTTTAACAATTTTCTTAAAAATCAGAATTTTGCACATTTTGTCAAATTTCTCGAATTTCGGAATTTACACATTTTCTCGAATATCTCAAATACGGTCCATTTTAGAGAAATTATGTATAGAATAAAAATTATAGAGAATTATATTACTTTTATTTTAACAATTTTTATAAAAAATTATTTTTTTACATTTTGTCAAATTTCTCGAGTACGGACCATTTTAGGAAAATTTTGTATAACACAAAAAATATTGATAATAGTAATGTAATAAACTTTTATTTAAAGAATTTTCTTCTCCAAACGTAAATAACAGATATATTCCATAAAATATACAAATGACCACCCATAAAGTAACCCCCAGATGTTCTGACTCTGCCCAAAATCTAATCAGTTCATTGGACGCCGGAATAAAGCTTAAGTTTAAAATTTGGTGTTTTTCTTTCTATCGGTTTATGAGTTATGGTGGATACAGACACACACATAGACACACAGACACACAGACAGACACACAGACACACAGACACACAGACACAGAGACACACAGACACAGAGACACAGAGACACACAGACACACAAACACACAGACACACGTCGGCAAAACTGACCACTTCACCTGCAACGTGTTGTTCAAATAAGTCATTTATGAATATGTTAAATAGTAGTGGAGTGAGTACTGTTCCTTGAGGAACACCACAGGTTATAATCCTAGGATCACTTAAAGTACCGTTAATATTGACTAATTGTGTTCTGGCATGAAGATTGCTCTTCATTAAATTGTAGACTACGCCCCTGAAACCAATGTTTTCAATTGTTTCTAAAAGTTGTTGATGGTTAACAGTATCGAATGCTTTTGCAAAATCAACAAAGATGCAAAGTGACGGTTGGTTTTGGTCTATTGAATTATTGATCATTTTTGTCAATCTCGCAATAGTATCCGAAGTTGAGGTGTTTTCCCGAAACCCATACTGTTTGTTTGACATGCCTTCATATTTATTTAAGAATGATAACAATCTCTTTTTTCCAAAAATTTTTCCTATACTGGAAATTATTAAGATCGGTCGGTAATTAAATACTTCGAGCTTATCTCCTTTTTTACTTTCCTATCTGTATACAGATAAGGAAAGTATAGGAATCATGATTTTTTCGACCTCGACTTTTCGACGGATTTTTACATTTTGGGGTCCCCTGAATCCGTTTTGACTATTTTCGCGATGCTGTATGTGTGTGCGTGTGTGTCTGTGTGCGTGCGTGCGTGTGCGTGTGCGTGCGTGCGTGTGTGTGCGTGCGTGAGTGTGTGGGTGCGTGCGTGTGTGTGTGCGTGTGCGTGTGCGTGCGCGTGCGTGTGTGTGTGTATGTATTTGTGTGTGTGTGTGTGTGTGTGTGTGTGTGTGTGTGTGTGTGTGTGTGTGTGTGTGTGTGTGTCTTTATCCACCATAACTCATGAACGGATACAAATAAAACTACCAAATTTTAAACTTAAGCTTAATTCCGGCCTGAGGTGAACTGATTAAATTTTGGGCAATTTGGAACATCTGGGGGGTACTTTATGGGTGGTCAGTTCTATATTTTATGAAGTATAATATCTGTTATTTATGTTTGGAGGAGAAAATTCTTTAAATAAAAGTTATTTCTAATAATATTCTCTATAATTTTTGTTTTATACAAAATTTTCGTTAAATGGTCCGTATTCGAGAAATTTTTCAAAAAAATGTAAAAAATTCTGATTTTTAAGAAAATTGTTGAATTAAAAGATGTTTGTGATATCAATCTCTATAATTTTTGTTTTTTACATGATTTATCTAAAATGGACCGTAATGAAAAAATAGGAGGAAAAGTATAAAATTTAAACAATTTCATTTGTTTTTAAATACGGACAGTATTTTTAATCAAATTTTTTTATACTTTTTGTGTAACAACGATATGTTACACTTGACTATTTTACTACGTTTCGTCTATGAAAATATCATCAGCTTTATAGCCTCTTATTATATCGTTATTTACTTGAGCAAAACAAGATGGAATTACTTAAAAGTTAATTTTAAAAGAAAATGAATAAAATTTTAAATTTCAAAAATTATTTTATTACAAAATAAATTACAATTTTTGATAAACATTCTACTAATAATATTCTAAAACTAATTTTTATTAAAAAAATAAGTAGGCTTTGTTGCTGTTCCCCATCGCCACTTTGGGAATCGAATTATTAGAATTAACACTGATCTGATCTAGTGGGAAAATAATATGGTGTTGAACTAAATTAGCAGACATTTTGACTAGATAAAAATTTTAAAACTATTTTTTGTTTCAGCTAATAGTAATGCAGAAAGAGGAGAGCGAGGGGATCCTATTGGTAAGAGCGGTAAGCTTTACGAGTATATTTAAGTTTTATTGATAAATACATTTTCTAAAAGTTTTTTTGTCTAACTAATAATTACTGAAAATAAGGAAATTTAAAGTGAATTGCAAAAATTTAAAATATAATAAATGAATAGCAATTATACATAATAGAATAAAAACAAAATTATTTTGATTTGTCTTTTGATAGATGGTAAACTTGTTTAATAAATATATATATCTCGTTTATTTAGCAAAGCTAATAGTACATTACAAATAAATAAAATTACAAAAAATATTTATCTCTATCTAAAATATAACACTAAAATATCACAGATGCTGGCTCGTTAACATATAATCTCTTAGTTTATATTTAAAGGTATTAAATGAGGCGACATTTCGGAGTTCTAAGGGTATCTCATTAAAAGCTTGAAGTCCCTTAAAAAATATTGAATTTTGGGACTGTTTACGTGCAACTTGTGGAATATGAAAATTAGATCTATTTCTTGTGTTATAGTTATGATAGTCAAAGTTGTAATTGATTTTATCAAGTAAATAAGAGGGGACCAGTCCATGTTTAATTTTATAAATGAATATTAAAGTTAAGTACAGAAAATAGTTTTTAACAGAAAGCCATTTCAAATTTTGTAACATACCTAATATATTGGTCCTTCTATCACATGACAATAATATCCTCATTGCTCTATTTTGTAATTTCTGAAGTCTGTTGGTTTCATTCTGATTAAGTAAATACATAATGGTGGCACAATAAGTGAAATGAGGCAAAACTATACTGTTATATAAAAGAATCAATGACCATTTATTAATGTAAATAAATCTCTTCTAAACTTTGTCTTTCACTAAACACGATAAAAGGCTGTTGAGGTGTCGAGACATCGAAGTATGTCTTTTTTATCAATTCACTCCTCACATTTTTTATGCCACGGCGTAAGAAGTTCCACTTATTTGTTTTTATTTAATTTTACTATACTCTGATACAAACTTTCACTTCCCATTCCCCCTGAAACACGTCAATATTCATGTATGCTTAGTAGCTGTATTTCAAATTTTCTTTCTTCTAACTTTAAAGAGCAAATACTTTCATACAAAGTACCCCCACTTGTCCCCCTTTAAAGTTGAAATTTCCGAAAATACTTAAGTTATAAAATATATGTATTGTTAAGCAGCACCCTGCAGCGTGCTGCGGTCGTCATAAGTAAGGGTACGAGTAAATGAAGAAGATAGAATAGTCCAGAAATGTTTCGAAATGTCATTCCTTGTCAAAGAACAATCCGAATTTACACAGGTTTTTGGTATCTCAACTTATTTCAACTCAACTACACAACTGATAACATTAATATGTGACGTCTATCATAAAACTGA